CATTCAAATGAGTTGGCGGTCATCCCAGTCAGTGGAAAGTCATTTTTGCCCTCTTCTGGTCTGCAGCTTTGTTGTCCCCAATGTCTGCAGCTTGACCTCATTCTTATGAACGGTTGTCTTTTAAATTTGAAGAATGAAGCAACCTGACTCTTACTCTATCCCTCTGGCAGTAAAACCAGAATTTAACCCTTTTTTCCTCACTCAAAACTTTTCTTTTCAACTCAATTGACACATTTTTCGTCCACGTAATAGTGGTCACAGACTCAGATTTTTCAAAGTCGGTAAATGTAATCCAGTATTTTAAGATCTGTTCCATTTTTAAAAGTCAAGTAGTGCATGCCAGCCTTACATCACGTGACTTTGAGAGATTCTAAACAAAAGATTCAAAGAGATCAAAGCTTCACACAATGCAGTGTTTCGAAATCGTCATTAGCCTATTAGTAGCCTAGCTATGCATGTTTTTTATATATATATATATATACCAGATGACTTAGTTGTCAAAGTATACAGTAGAACCACTGTGTCGCCTACTCAGAAATGTAGATGTCACAGCTTGCAGACACACCTGCTTTGCACATGTCTCATACAAAGAACCAGGAAACTTGTACTCTCAAGTTCAGGAAAACGAAACTTATTGTCCTTTCGCGTAGTACCTTGAGGGATCTTGGTTGTATGGTGACTTTGATTTCACCAAGTACAACATGTTCCTGGATCAACATCCTTGTTGATCCTTGAACAACATTCCTATCAACCAATCAGAATTGAGGGATAACTTTTCAGAAAATATCTGTTTTAGGCTTACAATCAGGGTTAGGTGCTTCTACACCCTTGGTAATCAGCTATCATTTCACACTGTTTTTAGGAATACATTGTGGGTAGGGTTAGGTTTAGGGGTAGGGGTAGGTTAAGTCTATATTTTTGGACAGTTACAGTATGTTGATCCAGGAACATGTCTTACTTGGCAAAATCACGGCGACCTTGGTTGTATACGCTTATCTTTTTACTGCATGCAGTAAAATGGCAGAATCCAGTATTTCAGTGGCTCAAGGCCAGTTTAACTGTTCAATTTGTCTGGATCTACTGAAGGATCAATTGACCATTCCCTGTGGACACAGTTACTGTATGAGCTGTAATACAGGCTGCTGGGATCAGGATGATCAGAAGAGAGTCTACAGCTGCCCTCAGTGCAGACAGACCTTCACTTCAAGCAGGGCCGCATTAACCATTGGGCTAGGCGGGGGCCCGTGATTGGCTGTGGAGTAGATTGACTGGTCATCGTAGCGCCGATTGCCAAATCATCGCCCCTCATTTATTAGCGCTATTATTTAGTGGAGCTTTTCCATATATTCCATGCATTACCGTTAGAGATTAAAACGTCACGTTTGAATTTGGTTTACCAATCAAATGCATTTATTCTATATTTTTACATTTGAAGAACCCTTGCACCACATATCAATTAGGTGATCGCTGCAATGTCCGCTTTCACCTCTCTTCACTTCGTTCTGGCATAACCTGGAAATGGTCATGCAAAGAACAATCTTCGATAAGTAAAAATGTAAACTATTCTAAAAAAAAAATGAGGAGAGAGGGGAAAACATTAGCTAGTGAGTCAGTAAAATCCCCAGCTATCAGGTTATTTTACTAAAGCTGATGATGGAGTAGTTGTGAAACAGCAAATGTGCCCCCGATCTACATAAATGTGTCTATGTTTGTGCGAATCATTCGTGATCCAGCTTCACCTACAGAAGAAGTGAGTGTTAGGCTTTTTTTAATGAATCTTTGCAAATCACCTGTCCTAATAATGTGCTAATTAGCAAGTTTCACAATGAATGCGGCTAAAGTAAACAGTCTCTCAGAGAGCAGCTCGGAAGAGAGGGGCGGGGTCAGCAGAGCTCATTAACATTTAAAGGGAAATGCAACAAATCTGCATGCTCTGAAAAGAGCTGTTTTTGACAGGGTAAAAAAATAGTTTTTTACACTACCATTGAGAAATTTTAACCAAAATATGTTACAGACTTTTCATTAAGACCCTAAAGAATCATATCAACTTGTGGAAAATGGGCATTCCTCTAAAGTAGCTTAATTTAGCTGCTATTAAAATTTATGTCAGTAATGTTAATCAAACATTAGAAAGAAAATCACTCACTGTCTTTGACCGAATCATTTTTGTAAAATAAATAAGAATGAATGTACATTTAATTTATACAGTGAAGACTATTCAGTTTATTTATACATTTATTTTATACAATATAATTTATTATTCAGTGCTTTTAAGTGTTTCAAGTAGGTCTATTTTTTGTAATTTGTGGCTGTTTACTTGTCTTAAGTATAAGCTTGTTTTTACTTAAGCTAGTATTTTGTATTTTTAATTAATTTTTTTAAATATTGAAATTGGTTACAAGAATTATGAAATTTCAGTGCATCAAAATGTTGTTTTGCTGTTCTGTATATGCGTGCTATGTATGTTGGATGAACACAAAAAAACATGAAACCATATCACATGCTGAAGAGAGGACTGAGAAACAGGTACGAATGAAGTAAGAGCAGACAACGTTTAGCTAATTCCTGCAATCCGCATTAATGATATAATTTTTCATATCCATTGCAATGTTTTTTCCCCCTGTTGATTGTAGGCCTACATGATAACATTTCAGTGTCGCTGTTAGAAAAAGATTTCAAAATTAGATTTAAGACATCCCATGTTTATAAGACTTCATGTCATAACATTTGCTTTAACAGTATAACAATTGTGTTTGGAAACCGAAAGCAGAAGTTCTCACACCAGGGTATATAGCAAATAAAATAGATTTAAAAAACCTGATCATGTATTTAAATAAATAAATAAACAAACAAACAAATAAGATAAAAATAAATACTACTGTATAGGCCTAACACAGTGGCCTATATTGAGTACAAAAAACGTGATAAATGTAACTTAATATAAACTAAATACTTAGCAAATAAGTTACATAATATAATATAAGTTATTTGATATAATATATATAATGAAATACTGCAGTAATTACCTAAGCATAAGTGTATTGTAGTAGACGATGTTTTGCATTTGTCAAATGTAGCCTATTTACACTTATTGGACCAGCAAATTGTTTCACAGTTTCAAAAGATTTTGTTTCTTCTGTTAAATCCGCATGCGTGAAAAAAGGTGAGGGTTGTGGTCAGTCTTGCAATATAAAATCTGATTATTACGGTGGCCGAGAGAGCTCAACGCGCTGCAACTTAAGAAAACACATGCAAATTGAAAAAACACCAGCAAATTAAGAAAACATCTTCATCAGCTTGACAACACACGCGCTGCAAATCCTCACAACACATGCAAATGAAGAAACGCGCTGCAACTCCTCACAACAATCAGGGTATCTTCCGTCCAATCAATTTTTGTTTTAATATTGAAATCTGAAAAATGAAAAACGGCACATATTTCGTTTTTCAATTATTCAACCAAAATGAAAAATCAAGAATCCGGCTTAATTTTTCGTTTTTACATTCGGGGATAGAAAACGAATAAACAACTTGAATATTCGATCTCTACATGTGGGCGGGAATGAAACGCCCCTCTCTGCTAATTGGTCAACCAAACATTACAACATAATAATAGTCCTAAAAAAACCTTAATAATAGTCCTCCGCTTCTATTGATTCTTAACATGTTTATTTCTACTACATTTTATCTCTTCATCAAACAGCCAGATTAATGAATGGCTTGACACAAACCATACTGAAGCAGAGCCTTTTGGCCCTAGGCATACCTGTTTTTCAATTTGCATGTGTTTTCTTAAATTGCAGCGCGTTGAGCTCTCTCGGCCACTGTAGGGATTATAATATAAAAAATATTTATTCCATCATAACATCCATAACTACCACAATTCCAAAAAATAAAAATAAAAATGGGATGCTGCTGGATGGTCCCTCTCTCTTTAGTTCAGAGGCAGCGTCCATGGTTTCCAAATATAATTTTAAACATTGATTCGTCTGACCACAAAACAGTTTTTTAACTTTTCCTCAGTCCATTTTAAATGAGCTTTGGCCCAGAGAACACGGCACCATTTTTGGATCATGTTCGCATATGGCTTCTTCTATTTATGATACAGCTCTAACCTGTATTTGTGGATGACACGGTGACCTATGTTCACAGACAGTGAATTCTGAAGGTGTTTCTGAGCCCATGCAGTGATTCCCATTACATAATCATGCCTGTTTTGAGGGCAGTGATGCCTGAGGGCCCAAAGATCACAGCATCTAATAATGATTTTCACCTTGTCCCTTGCACACAGAGATTTCTCCAGATTCTCTGAATCTTTTGATGATAATATAGATGATGAGATATTCAAAGTCTGTGTAATTTACATTGAGGAACATTATTGTTCCACAATTTGTTGACAGTTTTTCACAGATTCGTGAACCACTGCCCATCTTTACTTCTGAAAGACTCTGCCTCTCTAAGATACTCTTTTTATACTATATACTTTATACTGATATCTTGTTAATGATATGTTACTGCCAATTAACATAATTAGTTGCAAAGTGTTCCAACTGTTTCTTTTTATTAACACTTGATAAAATAACTGAAAAACGTTTTAAATTGTGTTAAATTTTGCAATCATGGTTTAGTATGTTACAGAAACTGCCCTAACCCACTCATACAGCAATAATTCTTAAAAAGCCAGAAGTCATATGAATAGATTTAAAAATGGGATGCAACTTTGAAATAGATTTCAGAATTGAGACATTCCACATGTTCATAGCAGACATTAAGACACAGTGGGGAACAGATCTGTATTCTTACCATCTTGTCTGTAATAATTTTGTGACTTTCCGTTTCATATATTACTGCGGTTTACTGTAATTTCTTTGTCTTACAGAAACTCTTGAAAGAGACCCAGAGAACATTCCAGCAGAAAATCCACACTCTAAAAAATTATTCAGTGGATCTGTTGCTACTTAATTTAATGCATTAGTGCTTAAATATATAACTTAAATATCTCTGTTAGTTTGTTTAAAACATTATTTAAGTTGTACTAACTCAATGTAATTAGCTCCATAACTTCATTTTTTCAAGTTCATGTTTCAGGTTCCCAGCATGCTTTGCATGTGACTGAATAATGAGCGGTAATGTAGAAATAAACTCATATTTTATGCATTTCTATTCAAGATAAGAACAGTAGAAGATTTATTAATGTTCAATGTTCGGTTCTTTTAGTATTTAAAAGGTTGAGAACAGACTCACTGGGCATTGTCTTACATGCTGTTACAATCAGAAGGCATTTGGTTGAAAATGCTAAAAGATTGATTTCCTGGTAGCATTAAAGGGGTCATATGATGCGATTTCAAGTTTTCCTTTCTCTTTGGAGTGTTACAAGCTGATTGTGCATAGATAAGATCCCTGAAGTTGCAAAGACTAAAGTCTCAAAACCAAAGAGATATTCTTTATCAAAGATAAGACTCTGCCATGCCCCCCTAAAACGGCTCGTTCTAACACGCCCCCACATATCTACCTCACTATGTGGAAATATTAGCATATGTGCACGCAAAAAAAGAAGGCGTGGTTTCAGTAACCATAGTTAGTGTTGAAGCAGCCATGTCAGGGAGACACTGTGTGTTTTTAGGTGAAAGCAAAAGCAGTTTATTTGGCCTTCCGGAAGTAGATGCATTTAGGAATCTTTAAGATTACTTACAACAGATATGGACGACCATTTCGTGAACCTAGGAGAGGAGGTAATTCTGACTTTGCTATGACAATCCGGCGCTTCTGAATCAGCTACTGTTTCGTTATTAGTTTAAGTATTTGCTATTGACTGTTCAAATGCGGAGTTTTGCGCATCGTGTGTGTGTGTGTGTGTGTGTGTGTGTGAGAGAGAGAGAGAGAGAGAGAGAGAGAGAGAGAGAGAGAGAGAGAGAGAAAGAGAGGAAGAGAGAGACACACACATCACAGTGGAGTCACCTGTCTTAACCGTGGCTTGTGTACTGCAAACACATACCAGCGTCATCAC